ACGAGATCCGTGGCCTGTGCCTCAAGTCGCGGGAGATCTTCCTGAGCCAGCCCATCCTGCTGGAGCTCGAGGCGCCACTCAAGATCTGCGGTGAGCCCCAGGGCCCACCGCCACCCTTGTCCACGCATCTTGCCCCCCAGCCTTAGGGCAGTGGGTTCCCCTGTGGGAGGTTGCAGCGGGTCCTGGCTGGTGTTCGCGGGGATCAGAGCGGTCCCACCTGCACCTTACTCTCCATTGCTCCCCCCAGTCCAGCCCTAAGGGTGGAAGGTTCCCCTGCGAGAGGTCCTGGGGGTCTCTTGCTGAGGTGGGCTGGGTGCGGGGATTGGAGCAGCCCCCCCCCCCCACACACTCCCACCCCCCTTAATCCCCTATTGTCACCCTCACCCCATTTGTGGGGGTGGTGGGTTTCCCTGTGGGAGGTCTTGGCAGGTCTTGGGAATCCCTTGCTGATGCTGGCAGGGTAGGGGGGTCAGAGTGGTCCCCTGGCTCCAGCTGCGATCTGGGGGATTAGGGGAGGAGGATGCGGGATCTCTGGACAGGGCTGGTAGGGACAGCATGGGTTCCCTGCTGGGCTGGGGGTCTCTGGGTAGCTGGTAGGGAGGTTGGAGAAGGTCTGTGTACTGAGGGTGCCATTCCCCCCTGCACTCTCCAGGTGACATCCATGGGCAGTACTACGATCTGTTGCGGCTCTTCGAGTACGGGGGCTTCCCACCTGAGAGCAACTACCTCTTCCTGGGTGACTACGTGGACCGAGGCAAGCAGTCATTGGAGACCATCTGCCTTCTGCTGGCCTACAAGATTAAGTACCCTGAGAACTTCTTCCTGCTGCGCGGCAACCATGAGTGCGCCAGCATAAATCGCATCTACGGTTTCTATGACGAATGTGAGTGTGATTTCACCCCCCCTCCCTGCCCCTATCTACCTGGACGCATGACTGTTCCCAGTTGTGTCTGAGCCTGGGCCGTGCTGCGAGTATGCAAGCATCAACTGCATTTGAGTGCTAATGACCCTGGGCCCCCACCATTGCAACCTCTGCCTGCCTCCAGGTGTGAGCATGCACCTAACTGCAAATGTGCAAACATCAACCACGCCTATGCCTCATACTCGCATCCCTGCAGTTGAGGGTATCAGCTGCATCTCTGTCTTGTGCACCAAATTTCTTACCCTACCACACTCCCAGTCACAAGGGTGCACTCCCCAGCTGCAAGCATGTGGGCATCCGCTCTGGGGGCAGCTGATGTGGTAAGTGTGGTGCCTTCCAACCATGAGGGGGCTGCTTGTCCCATCTCCCGTGGTGGCCCAAACCATATGACCCTCTGACCTGGGTCTCCCTAGAAGGGAGTGTGCACCCCAGGAAAGGCAGATACTGTTGGGTGGTGGGAGCAGAAGGGGCTGCTGCTGTGGTGAGGCTCCCATCCCAGATATTGTGCTTTGCAGGCAAGAGGCGCTACAACATCAAGCTCTGGAAGACATTCACTGACTGCTTCAACTGCTTACCCATTGCTGCTATTGTGGACGAGAAGATTTTCTGCTGCCATGGAGGTGGACAGTGCCCAGGCCTCTAGACCTTGTTATCGGGAGGGGGAGAGGGAGTCCTTTCCATTATGAGGCACTGCTGGGGTGGGGTTAGGGGTGGGGTTTTGGGGGGAGAAGCTCCACAGGGCTGTGTGGGGGAAGAGGGTTGCTGTGGGGGGGGTCACTGGGGATGCTCTCCAACAGATCAGCACCACCCCCTGCTGGGGTATGAGGTCTCACAGCCTTATCCCCCTTTCTTCCCAGGGCTGTCCCCTGACCTGCAATCAATGGAGCAGATCCGGCGGATCATGCGCCCCACGGATGTGCCGGACCAGGGCCTGCTGTGTGACTTGCTCTGGTCCGATCCTGACAAGGACGTGCAGGGCTGGGGCGAGAACGACCGTGGCGTCTCCTTCACCTTTGGCGCTGAGGTTGTGGCCAAATTCCTGCACAAACACGATCTGGACCTCATCTGCCGGGCACACCAGGTACCCTGTACCCTGAGAGAGAGCTGTATTAGGGGAACTCAGGGGTGAGCTAGCAAGGGGCTGCGGGTCAGAAGTGAAGAGCAGAGCTGTGAAGAGAGCCTGTGGTTGGGATGGCAGAGAGCTATAGAGGAGGAGGCAGAGCCAGGGCTCCTGTGTGGGTTCCCTGCATCTGGCAGAGGGAGGGCTAAGTTGAGTCCTGGTGCCCGGCCCTTCATTGTCCTTCTGCCTCAGGTGGTGGAGGATGGTTATGAGTTCTTTGCCAAGCGCCAGCTGGTGACACTCTTCTCAGCCCCCAACTACTGTGGCGAGTTCGACAATGCAGGTGCCATGATGAGCGTGGATGAGACCCTCATGTGCTCCTTCCAGGTGAGCCTCAGGCCAGGGCTCTTCTTCCCCACCCCGCCCCGGCAACCATGGCAATGAGCCAAGCTCTCACCCTGCTGACATAGGCTCAGAGCTGGGTAAGGGTTGAATTTCCCTTCCCCTGACTCTGCAAGCATCTGCCCGTCTCCTGTAGAAAGCCTTGATGAGGGAGGAGTTGGGTCTTGGAGTGGGGTTCCGAGAGACTCCCAGGGGCTCTGAACCCAGAATACTAACCCTGCTGCTTGTGATTTGGGGGAGGGCAGTTGTCCCCCCACCCAGGCTGGAGATGCTGTCCTCTAGCCAGTGCCTCAGTCTGTTCTCGGGGTCTGGGGTACAGCAAACTATGCCCTCTCCTTGACTCGATTCTCTTCCCCAGATCCTGAAGCCAGCTGACAAGAATAAGGGCAAATATGGGCAGTTCAGTGGCCTGAACCCTGGTGGGCGCCCGGTCACACCCCCGCGCAACTCGGCCAAGGCCAAGAAGTAGTGGCTGCAGCTGGGGAGCACTCTTTGCTGTGCCTGCTCCGCCAGCTCTGCCCACCACGGCTATGCTGCCCAGGTTCATGTCGTATGGGGCTGCCTGGTAGAGCTGAACCAGTCCCTTTTTTTTTAAGAAGTAAACTATCCCTCTGGGAGTTGATACCAAAAATCCTGCTCTGTGGGGGAGGGGGCTGGGAGGGGGAACAGGAATTTTTTTTTTTTTTTTGTTTTTTGGATAGTCCTTTTTTGCCAGCTCGGCCCCCGTCTCTCCCATCTCCATCCAATGCTCAGTTTTTTGAATAAACGTTTAACAGAAATTCTTAATCTATGGCCTTTGCCTGGTTTAGTTTTCAAGCCAGTGAGTGGAGGAAGGAAGCATCTAGCTTTCACTTCCAGATCAAAGGTTACTTAGATGCCACCATCTGCTGCCTTTGTTTCCCATTATCCCCAGCTGGGTCTTGAGTGTTCTTGTGGGGTCTTCCTACCCTTACCTGTCTATGAAGTAGAGGTGTATAAACATTTAGCTGCTGCTGGGAAGGGTCTAGCTGCTGTATGCCACAGGACCAGGGACTGTGAGCCAGAAGGTATGCTTTGTACCCTGTGGCCCAGCTATGGGGCATGGGACTCGGAGAGGCCACTATTTTCTGCCCTGTACTGTGGAGGGACCTCAAGAGCCTGGAGGCACTGGTCATGCAGTAGGAAAGGGACAGCCTGGGGGCTCTCTGCTTCAGGGTGGCACCTGGACATGGACATCTCGAGTCTCAGCTCATGTAAATCTTGTCACCCTACAAATGAGAGGGAAGGGAAGAATGCTGGTCTAGGAGCACAGGCCTTGCATTTGGGGAAATGGGTCAGGCTCTCCCTATAGCCAGAGCTGCTACTGGGGTTCTTGCTGGCTGTGTTCAGGGCCAGGGGGTGTTCCCCAGCCTGGCAGGTGTAGGAATGCAGAACTCTGGCCTCTGTTGCTGGCCCAGCCCAGAGCATCATAGTACCTCAATTCAGAGATCTCTGAATAGAGGGGGAATGATATGAGAAAGCAAGCAGCACATAGCTGTGTCTAGGGGAAACCTTTTGCAGGGGGTGGTGTATGTGTGAGAATCTTGTACTTTGGGTCGCACTAAGCTTCAGTGGTGGGGGCTCTGCAGAGCATGCACAGCCCAGCCCTTGAACTCTGCTTCAGTTGTCGCACAAGCCTGGCTCTGTGCCTGGCCCTCTGCATGCCAAGGCAACTCTCAGGGGAATTAACAGCCCAGCCTTGAGCCAGGCTTAGCCCAGGGGGACAGCGCCAGTTGGCTGCCTTGGGACCGCCTCCCCTGGCGCTCACAGCCTTGGCCAGGGAGCAGGGGGCCAGTCCAGGGAGAGCTGCAGAGCAGGGGCAGGAACCCTGAGCCTGAAATAACTGGCCTGGTCCCTTTAGAGGGGCAGGGATCAGGCCTGGAGTACGTGGAAAGGAGCTGCTGTGGGGGCCAGTCGCCCCTAGCCCCCATTTAGTGGGATTTGGTTGTGGGGAGGATCTGACTGGCCTGACATTACACTCATACCCTTCAAAAGGGACTCTGAGCCACTGCTCCTTCCACCTCCTGACCGGCATTGTGGGGTGGGGATGGGAGGGGAGATTGACTGCCCCAGATCCCAGCAGCTGCTCCCCAGCCATTGTGTATCACAATTGGTTTATTTGCAGTGTCTGTTCCCACACTGTCTCTACTGTAGGCCCACAGGGCTCCAGTGCTGTGGGGGATGGGGGGGCGGAGTCCAGCCGCTTCTCCATCTTCAAAATGCTTCTAGGAAGAAAATAGGCTGGGAGAGAGGAGAGTAGTCCTGGCTCAGCATTCGCCCTCACTGTCCTCGGCCAGCACCTCTTGGCTGGGAGTAGGGTGAGCTCTGGCCTGCGACTGTGTCAGCACTGACCCAAAGAACAGGGAGCGGAACTGTGGAAGAGATCACAATATGAATGGTAAGGCTACCCCCAGCAAATACTCCCACTCTAGGGAACAGCTGACACTGTGCCCGCCCTACCTAGTCTCTCTTGTGCATCACATCCCCAACCATCCTCCCCCTAGTTCTAAAAAGACAATCACATCCCCTCTCCAACCCTCAGCTTTACTGGATTTGTGCCCCTTCCAGCCCAGCATCCCTGCAAGTCAAGAGCCACACCAGCCCAGACCTTTTTCTGTGGGGGCGTCCCTGGCACAGCCCCATCTTCGTCCTCGTCCTTGTCGCTATCCAGAGTGCTTCTCTCTGCCTCTAGAGCAGTGGCTGGACTGGGGCACCGCACGGGGAAGGTGGGGCTTGGAGGTGGCTCTGCCCCCTCATCACCAGTGGTGGTTTCCATGGCGATCATGTAGGACTCAAGGTCATCAACAGCAAAGTCCTCGTCAGGGGCACATTTGTGGCAGGCACTGTTGGGAAAGGTTAGAGCTATGGGACGAAGTCAGGCCCTGACCCTGCAGGAAAGAGGCTCCAACTCTGCCCAGCTTTGGGGCCAGGGCACCAGAGAGTATTGCCCACCATAGTGCCAGCACACATCTCCTTCCATAGCCACTGCTGGATGGTACCTGAGTCTGCAGAGAACCCGGGCAGCAACCTGAAGGCGGCAGAGCCACTTAAAAATCAAGCTGTTTGCTCTGATCCCTAGTGATAGGCCAGAGACAACTGCTGCGATCTGCGACACTGGTGATCATCTCAGCATTAACATCCTGCTCTTGTCAATCCCTACAGTCCCGAGCAGTCACCAAACCCTCCCCGAGTCCAGCATTCCGCTCCCAACCCCACAGTTAATGCACCACAGCATGATGGGAGTAGCTGGGCCAGAGGCAACCTCAGCACATGCCTGTTTATGCTGTTCAGGTGCAGAGGGAGTTTCTGGGTTTGAGAGCCCTAGGGCCCAACTTACCTGTTGGCTGTCTGGGCCTGTGAGCTGGCATTGGAGTCAGCCAGGGTGGCCAAGACCAGGTGCACTTCCAGCAGGGGGTCCTCCAGGGAGAACACAGCTGGCCTGCAGGGACAGCATGGGATGAAAATGGGTACAGCTGAGACCCCACAATGAGATCACCAGGGGAGGGGGACACGACACTAGAACTGGAGCTGGAGAGAGAGAGAGAGAGAGCGAGCAAGCACGCGCGAGCCTGGACATATCACTAGTAGGGCTATTATCCTGTAGGGCAAGGGACTAAGGCTCCCTAGGGAGCTCAGCAAAGGGACTGGGAGGATGAGGCAGGTGTCAGGAGCCCCAGCCAGAAACACTGCAGAGGAACAAGCCCCACCATCACTCATGAGCTCCTAGGCACACGGTGACATGCACAGGAGCTGGAATGTCCACCCCAGGAGACCAGACATACCTGCCAGGCGTGTCAAAGTGGATGCTGAGGGGCAGGTTTGAGGACTCAGCGAAGCTCAGGAGGCCCTGGGAAGAGGCAAAGAGGGGCTGAGTGTGGAATCTCACCTGGGTGGGCCAGGGCCAGGAAAGGGGGGGGCAGGCTGGCTCACCCGGAACTCCTTGAGGCAAAAGGTAACCTGGGTTTCCTGTGGCACCCGCACATCCTGGAACTCATCCTCAGAGAGGCACAGCTCAGTCACCATTGTCTTGCTGGGCTCTGGGGGTGACAGATGGGCTCAGCAACCAGTTACCTATGCCTGGCATAGGGCTGTAGGCACCAGCAATGCAGGCCAGGGAAGAGCCCAGAGCCAGACCCACCCAAGCAGAAGTACAACCTCCTGCTCTGGAGACACCAACCCCTGGACTGAGGGACCACTGGAAGGGGCAGGGGCCTTTCCTTCTAGGGGATCCTGATTCTGGTCTGGCCCTGAGACAGGGGACCTGGCTGGCTGGGGTGAAGAATGAGGTCTGGGATCTTCCCCTTGCAAGGGTGGGCACTGCCTGCCCTCCTGTGTTAGGCCTTGCTGTCTGCCCCAGGGACCCATCCCCACAGGGGCTGTAGGAAGCTCACCTGTCTCCTCATCCACATAGTTGCGCAAGCTCACCTTCCCGCTGGGGCCAACCCCCAGCGTCACTTCAGCCAGCGTTACTGGGAAGTGCACCACGGCATCCACCAGGACCCTGCCACCAGGAAGGGCAGGAGCTGTCAGCCAGAGGAGACAGACTGGGCACAGCCACCCCCTACCTTCTGATTCACCCCCAAACCTTTTAGTATCCCGGGCTGGCAGGCGGCACTCACCGGGCAGAGGCGCAGAGAGTGCTGGTGCACAGCTGCTTGTCGAAGATGGCCTGAAGCAGCTCGCACTCTTGGAATGACAGGTTGTGAGTCTTGGTGACACCTGCCAGGGGCGCCAGGATGGTGGCTCAGCTGGGAGGTGCATGACTGCAGCCCACCTCCCTGAGGCAGCCCTGCTTCTGGGGTTCCCCTGCCTGATGCACCTCCCCAGGTCCTGCCCCCCACCCACATCAAGGATCAAAGCCTTAGCTCTCATTCCTGTAGGTCCCCACCCGCCTCAGCCCTTACTCCCACGCACTCCTCAGACCTCTTCTCCCCACCCACTATGGGCTCCTACTCCCAGCCTGACCCCCTGTCCCCTCACATACACAGCAGCTGTGCTCTGTCCTTTCAAGGTTCTTCATAGCAGTGACACACCACCCCCACCCCTGGGGCTTCCCAGGTGTGGGATCAACGCTCACCGTATCTGTAGTGCAACTGTACAACCAGCCGGCTGGCCCGGGGGTTCAGCGAGATGAGGCATTTGCTTACCGTCTTCTCCAGTGAGGGCAGCGATCGGAAAATGGCCAGGAATGTCTGGGGAGGGGCAGACAGCACAGGCACAATGCAACTGGCAAGGAACCTCAGTCCTGGCTCCCAGCAGCCTCATGTCTTTAGACACCACAACCCCACATAAGAGCTGGGATAGAGCCCAAGAGGAGTTCTCTCTCTCAGCTTCCTCCCACACTATCTTCTAACTCCCTAAACCCTACTCCCCTCCCAAACCTGGGGCAGAACCCAGGAGTCCTGCAGATCCACTCCAGGAGTTTTCCAGAGAGCAGCAGAGGAAGAGCAGGACAGGCATGATACCTGAGGCCCATTGGAGAGCCCCAGTCAGTAACATGCACCCCACAGCACAGGACTGCCCTGAGGGGAAGGAATCCTGGAGTCAGGCACCCAGGTTGTTGAGCCACAGGAAGGGACAGGGCCACCCCAAGCCAAGACCTCACTTCCCCTACAACCAGCACTTTCTTTTGTGCCCTGGCTCAGGAGCCTCCCCCTGCTCTGGATGCCCCCACCCTCCTGGGGACCCCCAGCAGCCTGACCTTCATGAGGACCTTGCAACGGAAGAGCTCCCCATGGGCATCTGGGCCCCCTGCCTCATACAGCTGGAAGAAGAGCGGGGCGAACAGGAAGCAGGCGTAGGCCGAGCGAGATGAGTTCACAGCACGTAAAGACAGCTGGGGGTTGTATGGGGGTGAGATGCGACTCAGCAGCCTCTTCCCCATCACAGGCCAGTCCCCCAAACCCTCTCCCCCCACGTCACCAGAAGAGCAGCAAGGGAGAAAAGTGGCCCCGTCACAGAGCAGCACCCCCTCCACCCACACATGCAGAAGGAGTTGTGTGGGGACAAGACTGATCCCAACCCACACCAACCCTCTGCTGGGAGAGCTGGGGAGACCAGGATGGAGCAGCCCCACCCACTGCAGACCAGCCCCTCACCCCGCTGCAGGCAGGGCTGGCAGGAGGAACCTACCCACCATTGACTTGCAACCAGCCCAATGTCTCCCCTCCGCATCTCACAGAGGGGCATCCCCAGGCCACAATCTAGCCACAAGGCCCCTGAGATGCCGCCCCCGACTTCCAGTCTCCTGACGGACCCTTCCTGCTATCCAACCAGCCTCAGCAGGCCCCACTCACCCCGTTCTCCGTGGGCTCCACATACAGCTCGTCACCAATGCGGGACAGGGCATGCACGGCTTTGCCAAGGACTGGGCAGGGAGAGGCAGGTACTGAGTGAGGCAGGGGCTACCCTGCCCCCTCCCTGGCCCACAGCACAGGTCTGCACCACCCCAGGCCCCCGCGCCCCACAGCGCACCCCCTAGGGGGGCCCACCACCTGCCCTGCCCCACCCCACTCCCTGGAGGACAAGCAGCCCTGGGCCCTGCCCTGGCGCCCAGTGGGGCCCCCACACTCGCCTTTCACGTTTCCCCCGATGACAACACACTTCATGGCTGCACAGCCAGATGTCTCGCGCCTGCCCCGCGCATGCAGCCTTTCTGCCTGCTGCCGCACAGTGCAGCCTGGGGATGTGGGGCCTGGAGCAGGGACTAGCTGCCCTGGGGAGAAAACAGGGTCAGCCCCGCCACACGGCCCCATCCCCTCATGCCCCCCATTCCACGCCCCCCTCCAACACGAATCCGAATGGTCGCACCCAAACCCCTCCCCACACACTTCAAGACCCGAGTGGTCTCATCCGGAACGCCCAGTAGGGACCCCCATCGTCTTATCCGACCAACCCTCCTAGCAGAGTTGAATGGTCTCACCCAACACGCCCCCTTCCAAGGGACCCCCATGGTTCCGCCCTTCCCCTCCAAGAAGGAGCCCAGTGACCTCACCCAACACCCCACGCAGAGGGACCCGAATGGCCCCGCCCAATCCCCCCACCAGACACCCCAGTGATCTCGCCCACCCCCGCAGCAAAAACCCAAGCAACCTCGCCCTTCCTACCCAGCCGCTGCTCCCGGCTCCTCCAGCACTTCCCAGGCAAACCGCCTCCCCCTTTCCATTGGGCGACCGCAGCCTCCGCCCCTTTGCGAGTCCTATTGGCTCCGTGGTCACGTGAAAGGGGAGTCTGAGGCTGCCTCGCGTCACGTGACGATGGCGCTCGGCCAGAGCTACGCCCAGGAGCGGCCGCCGGACTGGTCCCTCCCCCTCTCTCTCCGAGGGGTGGAGCCTCGCTCTGGCCGCTTCCCTTGTCCGTGGCCGGGGGCGGGGGGGCCCACACCGCGTTGTGATTGGAGGAGGCGGACGCCACGGATTGGCTAGGAGCGCAGATTGACAGAGCTGCAGGCCCATGGGGCCTCGAAAGTAGGAGGCAGGACGCGAGGAAAGGGGTCCCCTTTAGAGAGGCATCGGCTGCTTCCCATACCGTTCCCCCCTCCCCCCACTCAGGGCTGGGCCCAGGCTGCGCCCACAGGAGGCTGCACAGCGCCCGCCTGGTGCCTGCCCTGCCCTGCCCCGCCCCCACGGGCCAGTGGAGCAAGGCCCCTCTGGGTCTCCAGCGCGAGCGGCTGTGGCACTGCCAGCACCACAAGTTCCTCTGGGACATGGGCAGGAGTGTGGCCCTACCGGGCAGTTCTGCCAGCCCAACTCCCCCACACCAAAGCTGTCTTCCTTCAGCAGCTTCCTATCCTCCCCAAGTGAGTCCTGAACAGCAGTTTCCGCCCTGCAAGGAGCCTGCGCCGAAGTCCCTTTCCGTTGCCTCTGGATGCCTCGTCACCGTTGGGCCAAAGTGCAAACGTTTGGGTGGCTTCTCCTTCCCTCTTGTCTTCGGGTCCCACCCAGGGAGCCCCTGCACATCCCCGAGTGCGTTGCGTGGCTGTTGTGGGGTTACTGTTGCATGATCAAAAGTGTTTGGTCCAGAGCTAGCCTGCGGTGATGCATGAACCAGGCTGGGCTTGGGCTCCCTTCTTCTCCTGTGGCCGGGGGGGGGCTGGGTTTGGCAGCCCTAATGGAAAGATTTATTTCCCCGTGAGTCAGCAGATCTGCCTGTTCCCCACCAGCGGCGTTTCGCACGCTACAACAGGAGGTTTTTTGCTGCTCACTGCAGCTGGGATGGAGTGGAGGTGGTTCAGTCCCTCCCTGAAACCTGACCTTTGGGACAATCCCCCATCCCATCCTGGCAACTCTGGGCCTGTGCTTCCTTGTAGTGTCAAGACCTCTGCCAGGGCCAGTGGTTCTGGACTCTGTGAATTTTTTTTTGTAGGGATAGGCGATTCTATCTTGGATGGAAGAGATGTCTTGATTTCTACCTTCAAGTTTATTCTGCTGCCCATTACCACAGTATTGGTGAGGTGCCCCTGCCAGATCAGAGATGAAGTCCCTTCTGAAAGAGGTAGGGAGACGGAAGAGGGATTTGGGGAACTGGCAGGCCCTCATGCCACTGTCACAGCATCACCTAGTGGGGATGTCAGAGCAGATATGCCACAGTGGATCAATGGACTTTCTGTCCTGCAGGGACCTACCCCAGCCCTCCCTGCACAACAGCAGGGAGCAAGAGAAACATGGATGAAGGAGCACATACCCTGAGGAAATGCACTGGCCTAAAGGATGGGAACTAATAATGCTGAATAAATAGTCTCGGTGGAGATAGTCTGTACAGGAGAAGTAAGATGGTGTTTGACATAATAAGCAGCCAGTTCAGAATGACTTGTTCTTAAGTTGCAGGGGTTTAGGTTGTAGCTGTGTTGGTCTAAGGACATAGGCAGACAAGGTTCCTTGGGTGAATTTGATATCTTTTATTAGACCAACCCAAACAGTTGGAGAAAAGTTATTACACACCAACTGCTGAAACTTCCTTAGCCTGACGAAGGGTTTTTGAACCCAAAAGCTTGCTTAATAACTTTTCTCCAACTATTTGGGTTGGTCTAATAAAAGATATCAAATTCACCCAAGGAACCTTGTCTGCCTTGTTCTTAAGTTGGGCATTGGGCTGGGGGTGTGGGGCAGAGGCATAGGCTATGTTTTGCTGGAACTTTGATAACGCTGATTTTAAAGTTAGCTGAGTTAAGGCCCATCTGTCTCAGGCTTACTGATACCTACCCTCTAGCATCGATCATTTCGCTTGTTCTGTTGTTTCCTATGCATGCTGGAGCTTTCTGTAAGAGGGACCAGACTTTGCTCTGTGTTTGTGCAAGGCATCAAACAGGACATCAATCCTGAGGGATGACAAGGGAGCCCCTAGGTTAACCCTTCAAGAGCCAGAGAGGGGATGGTACTGAGACTGGGGTCATTTCTTCAGTAAGTCCCATAACTCCTTCCTTGATATGTTTAAACTCTGGGCCTTTTTTTACCTTTCTTTTTCTCCATCTTCTTGGTTCATACGTTGAAGATATGTTGCATAATATGGGCAGGGAGCCCACGAATCCACTGTCCTCTCAGCATCTCCCAGAACAGGTGCAACTTGGTGTGTTCCACTGTAGAGTCTCTCCCACCCTCGCACTACATGCCTGAATTTGCAGGACATCCCTTCCAGGCACAGAAACTCCTTGGCTTCTCTGCTCAGGCTGCTGTAAGGGGGTCAGGTAGTGCCCATTAGGATCATGGATACCAGGGACAAAGCCTAGACCCACTGAAGCTGTTACCCAATATTTCCAAGCCCACAGGGAAGAGAAGAACCAGAACTGGGTCCTTGTGTTTCTGGGATGGGCTCTGGGTTCAGCTCTCTTTCCCCACCCCCCCCTTGAGGAAGAAAGGAGTCAGATTCCATGTTAAAGTGTCCGTTCCAGCTCTTGAATAGCAGCCGGGCTCCTGTGGAGAGAGCATCCCCATGAGGGTGTCTGGCCTCAGGGCTCAGAGTTTTATGGGGCTGTGGATAGGACACAGCTGGCTGAAATCGTGACACACACACCTCGGTGATGTCCAAAGCCATGTGCACCCCCCATCTCTTCTCCTCTGACCTTCCAGATCCACCACTGACTAGACACAGGGGACAGAAGGGGAGAACATGAGGCAGGGAGTGGGGGGCATGAATCTGTGAAGCTCTCATGGTGGGTCAGGGAGAGTCCATAAACTCCTCCAGAGGACACTCACACACACAAACAGGGCAGCCTCATTGTAGTGCAGCATTCCCAGCCCTGCGCTCAAACGGGGTCAGCCCCTTTATACTGCTTCTCTCTCTATGCTAGGCACAGTCAGCCCCACCATGGTATGGCCTCTCCAGCCTCCCCACTCACGTCTTGCTGCCCTCACTCCTTATTACTACTTCTTCACCACACCCTCCCATAGGCTCAGCTTCCACCACACTGTTTCCCTATCCTGTGCTCATGCACAGGGTCAGCTGCCCAACCCTGCATTCCCACAAGTTCAGCCCCAACCAGTAGTGCTGCCCCTATTACTTGTTCACAAAGATTCGGCCTCCCTGACGCTGCTTACCAAACCCTGAAATCCCTCCATTTCATGCCCATACAGGATCAGCCCCTGGAGCACCCTCTTCCATCCCACACTTTCTCCACACAGGCACCATGCAACCCCATGCTAATGCTAAGTTGTCCCCATCAGGCCACTCTCCATTCACTCTCACAGGATCAGCCCTCCTACTCCAGTACTACCGGTACTTGTTCCATGCATTCACACAGCCACAGTCCTTACCCACCCAGCACGTTCCTTGCCACACACAGAGGCAGAGTCAAAGCCTTGCCTCTAGTACTACACTGTCTCCTCGCACTCAGACTGGGTCAGTTCTACCCAGCGGGGTAGCTCAAGCATGTAGATCTGTTTCTTTATTTCTCTCTGTGCTCTCATTCAAGAGACAGACGCACACAGCTGGGCTTTGGCTTCAGTTTGCTCTTCCATTTCGTATGTTACCCAGCAGGGGGTGACAAGTGCTTGTCACTGCACCAGGAAACAGGGAAGCCAAGAGTCTGCTCTGTGTGTGAAGAAATCCCCTGGCTAGTTCCCAGCAGAATCATACGGAATCCCCTTGGAAAGGAAAGGGACAGGGCTGCAGCCCAGTCCTCTGAAAACCCAGCCCTAGGCTTTCATTCAGGGAAGGATGGAAAGTATGTAGGAGAAACCAAACAACAACTGTGTACCAGAATGAACACATACCAAAAATCTATCAGACAAAAATACCCAATTACCTGTGGGTGCACACTTCTCACTAGACAACCATAGCCACTCTCTTTTTGATCTCTCAGTTCTAATCCTCAAAGGGAATTTACAGAACACCTTTCACAGATGAGCCTACGAACTTCACAAATCTTCTGGATACAAAACATCATGGACTGAATATAGACTTGGGATTTATGGTACGTTCTAATCTGCCTGCCATCTGATAACCCCGGGTAACCTGTCTGCATTTTACCAGCTACATTCTGTCACCAGTTCAACGTTCCCCCTTACCCCCACCTACCTGTGTCACACCTATTGTCTCCCATTCCCTCTGAACCTCACTGCCATGTATTTGCATTTTCACAGAACTGCATTTTGCTTACTGGCTTCTGTTCTACCCAGAAGAGTGCACAAAGTACCAACAGACTCTCTCTATGCCTGAAGAAAGGTGTTTGGGCCTGAAAGCTTGCAAAGCACAATTTTTCCAACTATTTAGTTGGTCTAATAAAAGAGATCACATCTACCCAAAGAACCTTGTCATTCAAGGGAGGAGGTATTTTAGGAGGTTGGGAGGAGTTAAAGGGGAAAATGGAAGGGTCACTAGAGCTAAAGCTGCCTCTCTGCAGAGGTTCCAGTATTTGGGTGTGTGTCTAGGGACAGGGATTTTGGTGTCCCTGAGCTCTCTTAGGATTAAGGCAATCATTTATTCGTCCCTCATTCCCTTTTCCAAGGGGACTAGGGACTCAGCTCCCACCCCTTCAGGTTGAGGATGGCCCAGAGCCCCCTCAGAGGAATTATCCTTCTGCCTTTCAAGGAAGAGAGGAGAGGGGAATAGTGGGGCGGCGGGACAGATGGACAGGAGTGCAGAGACAGCATAGAAAGGTAGAAGAGTTGGGAGCCCATGGGTAGAGAGGCAGGAGGGCAGAGAGGGGGCTGATGGGAAAGTGAGACTAGATGGCAGGAGGGGAGGAAAGGCAGAGTGACCAGGGATGGGAATGAGCCCAATGGAAAGGTCAGCAGTGGGAGGCTTGGCTGGTGGTGGCGCCACTGGAGGGCGAATGCGCGACTCACACTCCCTGAGCTTGGCAGAAGGTGAGGTCAGCCGCCCACAAAGCTTCCTGTGACGTAACCCAGGAGCGGGGCGCCCAGGGGGCGAGGCAGGAGGAGCTCAGTTTGCTTGCCAAGAGGATAGGAGAGTTTGGCAGGCTGCCAGGGCGTGTTACCCACAGAGCCAAGCTGGCCAGGTGGAGCCCTTTGCTTTGTGAGTATCTGCT